CATCTAGAAGCTCGGTAAGCTCGTCTGACGGGGCAATCTCACCATCCATGCAGCTTCCAGGCACCAGGGCGCATAAGTGTTCCGCCACGTCCAGGGACGTTGGCGACGAATCAGGCACCTCGTACATGTCCTGGTCCTGGTCCTCCAGCTGCCTATCGAGATCCTCGAACGGGTCGGCCTCGCCATCCATGTTATGGAGAACGCCACCAGCCGCAGGACGCGGGACGCAGGGAAGATCCCTCGAAGCAGCCGCTTGATAGACTTCTTGCAATGGCCATACAGGGAGGGCATCAGGGCGAGCATCGCAGCACCTCTCAGCGCCGCCGCCTGCAACTCCATGTGCGAGGGCATCGGCCACCCCATCATCACGGGCCTCGCTCGGGCATACAGGGAGGGCGATGGGGCGAGCATCGCAGCACCTCTCCAGGCCACCTTCGGCAACTCCATGTGCGAGGGCATCGGACACCCCACCGCGGTGGGCCTCGCTCGGGCTTGCAGGGAGGGCGTCGGGGCGAGCGACGCAGCACCTCACCAGGCCGCCAGGGGGAGGGTCTTGTGCGAGGGCATCGGCCGCCCCACCGCTGTGGGCCTCGCTCGGGCTTACAGGGAGGGCGTCGGGGCGAGCGACGCAGCACCTCACCAGGCCGCCAAGACGAGGTTCGTGTGCGAGGGCATCGGCCACCCCACCGCTGTGGGCCTCGCTCGGTCTTACAGGGAGGGCGACGGGGCGAGCGTCGCAACACCTCACCTGGCCGCCAGGGGAAAGTGCGTGTGCGAGGGCATCGGCCACCCCACCGCGGTGGGCCTCGCTCGGGCTTACAGGGAGGGCGACGGGGCGAACGTCGCAGCACCTCACCAGGCAGCCTTCAGCTCCTTCGTGTGTGAGGGCATCGGCCACCCCACCGCGGTGGGCCTCACAGGCAGCAGGCTGCTCGGTCGGGGTCGAGCTGGCCTCGGGCAGCGCTTCCACGCCTGGGTGGCGATCGAGGTCAGGGCGGCCAGGCACCGCGCGCTCACGCCCTTGTGCAGGGCCCACCTGGCCCGAACCCGTGGCGGAGCCGTCCTGGTGCAGGGTGAGCTTCGCAACCGTCTTCGTCACGTAGTCGTGCACGCCGAGGATGTGCTGGGCCCACCTGGCCGCAACTTTCCACGCGCTCACTTCTGACCCACGTCGAGCTCGTCGCCGAGGAGGTCGCCACTCCAGCTGACGGGTGCGCTGCTGCACGGGGCCTTCGCGCCCCACGTAGCATTACTTGCGCGTGCCGACGATGTCGTGTCTGCCAGCCAGCTCCTCCTCCACGCCTCGGAGGACCAGGTCCCATGCCACCGCAAGCTGAGGAAGAGACTGCGCTTGATCGATGGAGAGATACACGTCTTCCCAACCATGCCAGGGATACCTCGCGCATCCCACGGGCAGCCCCCGAGGGAACGGGCGCGGCTCATCTAGCTCGCGCGCCATCGGCGCCTCGGTGCGCTTGGCCAGCGTGAGGTGCACAGGCCTATGTGGCCAAGTTATGTCGGTGACCGAAACGTCGACGGTGTACTTGGCCCCCTGGAGCACCGGGCGGTGGGCGAGGAAGTAGTCCAGGGTAGTAGCTGGCACGGCCTGCAGGCAGGTGGGCTCCCGCGGGGCCACGCACATGGCATCGGCGAGGTGGAGCCAGTCATGCTCCAGCAACTCCTGCGGGGCCATGTTGAAGCCGCCGCCGACGATCCATGCCAGGCCTGACCCTGTGACGACGCGCTTCACGTACTGCGCGACCTGCCAGACGATGGCCAAGTTGCGAGGCGACCTGCCCTCGCCTGTGCGTAGATACAGCGCCACGGCGACGAAGCCGCCAGGAAGTGCAGCATGCACGTGGGCTGCCACGGCCCTGCCAGGCACAATGACGCCGTCATCCAGCAACGGCGCCTTGGTGACGGCGATGTCCGTCTTGGCCAAGACAGCGACGCCGCCCTCCGTGCCGCCAGCTGCTGTGGCCAGCGCGGAGTCCTGGGCGTCTCCCTGTACCTCAGGGAGCTTCTCGGCACCTGCATGGTGCTCCTGCGCCAAGACCACGTCGCTGCTGCATTCGGCGAGGTACTTGGACAGGGTGCCAAACGAGTTGGCGTTGACGGTAGTTATCTGTAACTTGCTGCGCGTCATGACTGGCAACGATGAGTACTCAGGCTGTGCGTGGCTTCTTGACCACCTTCCACTTGGGCTTGGCCAGGCGGATTCGCTTGACTGCAGCACGAAGTTCCTCCTCTGAAGCATCGGCAGCGTTAGGGATGTCAGCACCAGACTCGCGCAAGAAATCGCGCAGCTCCTCGGCAGTAGCCTGGTTGACGGACTCCTCCTCCTGGGCATCACCTTCGTCTGCTTCCATGGCGGCGTCGGCTCTGGCTGCTGCCTCCTCGGCTTGCTCCTGCTGGGCCTGGGCGGCCTCGCGCTCGGCTTGAGCTTTTCGCTCCTGCTCCTGAGCCTGCCGATGCTGGCGCATCCTGTCCACCACATTGGCCGCGTCCTGCTGCAGATCAGGAGGAGCCTCAGCAGCAAGCAGGACTTGCTCCAACTTGGGCAGCGTCCAGCTGCTCTCGTCGTCGCCAGCGCCTGTGCCAGGAGCCGCTGCAGGGGGCTGCGGGAGCGCACCAACCAGTTGGGCCCGCTGGCCCTCGAGCTCCAGCAGCTGCTTGCGGGATTCGGCCAAAGCGGCATCCTGCGTGGCGATCTCCGCCTGCAAGGCCGCCAGCTGCGCCTGCTTGAGCTCGCGGGCCGTCTGCTGCTTGGCGATCTGCTGCTCGACCTTGGTGATCTTGAAGCCGAGAGACTTGAGCCGCTGCGAAGGCGGCTTCTCCTGGAACAGCTGCGCGCGCAGCTTGATCTGCTCTGACTTGTACTGCTCCACCAGCTTCGCAACCTCTGGCGTGTCAACCCCAGCCAGCTGCTTAATGAAGCCGTCCAACTCGTCCAACCTTTTCTTGACTGTCGACTCAGCACCAGCATCGCCTTCCCCTTGCTCTGCACCCACCGTGGGCGTCGCCGACTCGGGTGGTTTAGCCTTCGCCTGCTTGAGCTGCGACGTGAGCGATTGGACCTGCTTCTGCATCTCGAGCAGCTGGACCGAGAGCGAACCTGCTGCTTTGCCACCTGCGGCCCACGGCGCTGGCCGAGAGGGCGCACTGGGTTTGACGGGGCCCCCGTACACGACGCTCTTGGCCAGGCCGCAACTGTTGCAGCACAGCTTATCAGCGAAGTTGACGTAGGGCTTGTGATCACGTCCGAGGCAAGACTTGCAGAGCCATTTGTCACGACGGGCTGCACGACTGCCCCCTCCCTTTGCACCAGCGGCGGGCGGCGCCATTGCTCCTCAACCACAGACTCTGAAGCTGTGCCCGCGAGAAACAGGATGACGGCCAGGCTGGCCACTGGAGGGAGAATCTTGTTCAAAGGATCTGGCCTCAAAGCGCGAACCCCCTCGCGCTCAGAGGCGCCCGAGAACGGACTCGCGGTCGTCGGGCGGTTCATAGCCTTGAGCCAAAATGGCTACGGATGTGTGTGTGTGTGCGTGTGCGTGTGCGTGTGCGTGTGCGTGTGTGTGCGTGGTTGTGTGTGTGTGTGTGTGCGTGCGTGCGTGCGTGCGTGCGTGCGTGCGCGTGTGTGTGTATGTGTGTGTGTGTGTGTGTCTGGGGGGGGCATGCGTGTGTGCGTGCGTGCGTGCGTGCGTGTGCGTGCGCGTGCGTGCGTGCGTTGTTGTGCGTGTGGGCGTGCGTGCGTGCGTGCATGCGTGGGTGTGCGTGCGTGCGTGCGTTGGTGTGCGTGCGGGCGTGCGTGCGTGCGTAGGTATGCGTGCGTGCGTGCGTGCGTGCGCGGATGTGTGTGTGTGTGTGCGTGTGCGTTTTGTGTGCGTGTGTGTGTGTGTGTGCGCGCGCGTGCGCGCGTGCGTGCCGTGCGTGCGTGCGTGCGTGCGTGCGTGCGTGCGTGCGTGCGTGTGTGTGTGTGTGTGTGTGTCTGGGGGGGCATGCGTGCGTGCGTGCGTGCGTGGGCGTGCGTGCGTGCGTGCGTGCGTTGTTGTGCATGTGGGCGTGCGTGCGCGCATGCATGCGTGGGTGTGCGTGCGTGCGTGCGTTGGTGTGCGTGCGTGCGGGCGGGCGGGCGTACAGTAGTTGTGCGTGCGTGTGTGCGTGCGTGCGTGGATGTGTGTGTGTGTGTGCGTGTGCATGCGTGCGTGCGTGCGTGCGTGCGTGCGTGCGTGCGCGTGCGTGCGTGAATGCGTGTGAGTGTTTGTGTGTACGTGTGTGTGTGTGTGTACGTGCGTGCGTGCGTGTGTGCGTGCATGCGTGCGTGCGTGCGTGCATGCGTGTGTGTGTGTTTGTGCGTGCGTGTGTCTGCGAATTTAGTTCATTTTGTACTGTGCATGTGCAACTGCGAGCATGCCTTGCAGGTGCGGACGGCTGTCGACAGTGACGGCTGGGTTCGCAAATTCGCTCCGTACCGCATCCCGGGCGCTGCGTCCGCTCCCTGACATTTGCCTTGGAGCCGTGAACCAAAAAAGTGTGTGCGTGCGTGCGTGCGTGCATGCAGGCGCGCGTGCGTGCGTGTGCGTGTGTGTGTGTGTATGTGTTTTTTGTGATTGTGTGTGTGCGTGTGTGTGTGTGTTACTGTGTGTGCGTTTGCGTGTGCGTGTGCGCGTGCGTGTGCGTGAGCTTTTGCGTGTGCGGGTGCGCGTGTGTGTGTGATTGTCTGTGTGTGCGTGTACGTGAGCGTATGCGTGTGCGTGGGGGTGTGCGTGTGCGAGTGCGTGTGCGTGTGCGTGTGTGTGTGTGTGTGTGTGCGTGTGCGCGTGTGTGCGCGTGTGGGGGATCCCCCCACGCTCCTCGACGGACCCCGCCGAGACCAAATGCACGCGCCCTTCAGCGGTGCCACGCCTTCGCCGCCCGAGCCGAGGGCCGAGGAGGCCGCGGCGCGGCGGCGCGGGCCCCCTGCCCGGGACGGGCCCGGAGCGGACGCGCCGCGGGGCCTGGCGACGTTGACGCCCTCCGCCTCGAGGATGGACCGGAGGTTGTCGATGTCGGTGATGGTGAGGGTCTCCCCCTTGTGCGAAGGAGGTGCCCCTCCTCGCACCACTGCGACCACGACTGGCCGAGCCTCCCCCTCGTGCCCTTTCCCACCTCCTGCTCCGCCTGCCCTTCTTGCTCCTCGTCGTCCTCCTCCTCCTCCTCTTCTCTGTTGCCCTCGCCTCCTCCGCTCCTCTGCATCAGGCTTTTCCTCCTCCTCCGCGCTCGCCTCCTCTTCCTCCTCCTCTTCCTCCGCCCTCACTTCCTCCTCCTGCTCCTGCTCCTGCCCCTGCTCCTGCTCCTGCTCCTCCTCCTGCTCCTCCTCCTGCTCCTCCTGCTCCTCCTCCTCCTGCTCCTCCTCCTACTCCTCCTCCTACTCCTCGTCCTCCTCCCCCTCCTCCCCATCCCCCCGCCTCCTTCCCCTGCTGCTCCTCCTCCTCTCCTCCTCCCCCAGTCCTGCTCCATCTTTTCCTCCTGCTGCGCTCATTGTGCTTATGAAGAACTTCTCCCTGCCGCACACCGAAGCCAATCGGAAAGGCGGGCTGGGCGTTTCGCCCGGGACTTCGTTACCATCTATGAGCCTCCAGCTAAAAATCTGACACCAGCTCCAAAAATGGAGGGCGGACCGCTTTCAACATGTGGCCTTCGCTTAAGCGCCGCGCTCATTCTTTCCAAACATTCGCAAGAGCTTCACGGACTGAGGGCGGGTGGTTTTCAAGATGTGGCGCCGCGTGCATGCGTGGGTTTCAAAATGTGGCTCTCACCTTTGCGCCGCGTGCACTCGTCTTGAACAAAAACTGCAAGAGCTTCAACGATTGAGGGAGGGTGGATTTCAACATGTGGATCTGGCCTTAGCGCCACGCACAATCGATTGAAATTTTCCCAAAGAAAGCGGCTCGTTTTCAAAATGTGGCTCTCGCCTTAGCGCCGCGTACTTCCGTTTAGACATTGCAAAGGCTTCACGGATTTGAGGGCGGTTCCTTTTCGAAATGTGGCTCTCGTCTCAGCGCCGCGCGCATTCATTGTCAACACTTGCATGCGTTTCACTGTCCTAATGGCTATCGTTTCAGAAGTGGCGTTTCGAAGCTATTCTGGATCTTCTGGACGCAACAACTACGTAGATTTGCGGTGTTGAGGTCCCGAGAACGGTGTTCTGGCACTATTCCGGATCGTCACGACGCAACAGTCAGATAGACTCGTGGCGTTGGAGTCATGGGAATGGTGTTTTGACACACTTCCGGGACTTCCAACGATTGCTCCTTAACGGGGCACTTCCCTCAGAGGAAACGAATACTTGCATGTGCCCAAGAAGGCATGTGCCCAAGAAGAGGGAGCTTGGAGGGAGGGTACATCCCAACATCGTTGGTGAATCTTAGGTTTACAATTTACAATGGTGGTCCTCCTGCTCCTCAAACTCCTCCTCCCCCCCTCCTCCTCTTCCTCCTCCTCCTCCTTCTCCTCATCCTCCTCCTCCTCCAGCTCCCCGTCCCCGTCCCCGTCCTTGTCCCCGTCATCCTCCCTCTCCTCCTCCTCCTCCTCCTCGTCCTCCTCCTCCTACTTCTCCTCCTACTCCTCCTCCTCCTCCTCCTCCTCCTCCTCCTCCTCCTCCTCCTCCTCCATTCCGTTTACGCATAAATAACTCCTCCATGTCGTGCCCCGAGGCTGGTCGAAAGGGCGGGCTGGACGTTTCGCCTGAGACGTCGTTGCAAATTATGACGCCGAAGCTACAAACCTGCAACAACTTCGCGGGTGAAGGGCGGGCAGTTTTCACAATGTGGCTCTCGCCTTGGCGCCGCGCGCATTCGTCTAAACAATCGTAAAGAGTTTCGCGGATTGGGGGCGGGCCGTTTTCAAAATGTGGCTCTCGCCTGGGAGCCGCGCACACTCATCTTAACATCTCATAAGAATTTCGCGAATTGAGGGCGGTTCTTTTTTCAAAATGTGGCTCTCGCCACAACGCCGCGCACATTCTTGGATATTCACTGATTTACACGCCTAGGGTACAGGAATTGATTTTTGGGAGCGGTTCAGGAGTGTCAGGGCGATTCGCGGTGGTGAAATTCCAGGCGTGGCGTTCTGGCTTGACTCGAATCATGACTTGAATCGTCATGACTTGAATCGTGGCGTTGAAATCCCGAGAACAGTGTTTCGGCACGCTTCAGGAGATTCCAACGGTTGCCTCCCAATAGGGCACTTCCTTCACTGGACAATATGCCATTGTAGGGGCCTATAAAGACGGGGCGTGGAGGGAGAGTCTATTCCAACATCGTTTATGAATCTCGAGTTTTCACTGGCCCTCCCCCTCCTCACCGTCTTCCTCCCCATTTCCCTCCATGCGGTTCTTTTTGTTGAAACTGTTGTCTTCGCCGGAGCGCCGCGCAACTCCCACCAGCCACTGAGGGTGCCATTTGTGGAGCGCGTCTCTTCCATGCCCCATCGCGCACATGGGGTCTGTTTCGGTTCGCAGGGGCTGCCCATCCATAGTCGACCTCGAAGGATTGCAAAAAGGATTGCACGAAGGATTGCAAAACAACCCTTTTTGCAATCCTTTTTGCAATCCTTTGAACGAAGGATTGCAGAAAAGCCCTTTTTGCAATCCTTTTTGCAATCCTTTGAACGAAGGGTTTCTTTGCAATCCTTCGACGAAGGATTTTTTTGCAATCCATTTTGCAATCCTTCGTTCAGCTGAGGTCTGCGTGCTAGCGAGACAGCCTGCGGGCGGGGAAGGTGTCTTGACCCCACCCCTGGACCTGAACGGGGCGCCCCGCGGGCCGTCAGAGCGCCCAACACGGCCTCGGCGAGAAAGCCAACACCATTGATTTTACCAAGGTGTTGGCCCCAGTTTGGGCCTCTCGGGGGGGGGGGCTACTCGAGTAACCCACACTTCTTCGATCGCTCACCTCCAAGATGGCCCCTCCCCCGAGGAATCCAAGACGCTTCATGAGGCCACCAGCGCCGGCAAGGTCCCCAAGACGCCCCCACAGGCCTACAAGAAGCTCCAAAGAGACATCCGAAGAGCCTCCGAAAAGTATCCAAGAGGCCTCTGGCCCTTCTGTTGGCCCTCCACCTCCTCCTCCTCCTCCTCCTCCTCGTCCGCCTGGGGCACGACGGCTTCCCAGCCTCTTATTCGACCTCGTGCTCCCCCCCACATGCGCGGCCAGGGTAACTCGCCCGGGCATCGTTTCTGGATGGTCTGGTGGGGGCTTACGCGAAGCGTTTGGACTTCGTCATAATGCTGCAGCAAGCTCAAAGATATGGAAGGTTGAAATTCCCAACATGGTGTTCAGGAGGCACCGTCAAAATGATGTGCTGCGCTGAGGTCCCAGAAGTGGTGTCGTTCGCACGTCTTCCTCTCAGCATCGCCCTGCCGCAACGGTCACGTTGGTTTTCGCCCTGGAAGTCTAAGGGTAGTGGTTCCGCACGATTGGGGAGTCTCAGACGGTTGCGTTCGCACGGAGCACCCGCCACAATGCAACTCCATTGCTTGACGGGCTTGCGAACGTGGAGTTTGTAGGAAAGGTGTGGTGTCACATGTGTGATGAGCCTTGGATTTGCACTGGTCCTCCTCCTCCTCGTCCTCCTCTATCCTTTTCCCTTATGGAGATCTCCTCCCTGTCGCACCCCCTGGCCCGTCGGTAGGGCGGCCCAAGCGGCTCGCTCGAGACATCCCCACCACGAGTTTCCCAGGAGCTCGAGATGCGCAGCAACTTCCGGTATGGAGGACGGATGATTCTCAGATAGTGAGCGTTTTTCTATTCGGGTGCTCTTCTCGCTCTTTTCGTGTGCCTTTCGTTCGTTTTCCTTTCCCGCCGCGTTGTTGCCCTCCCGTTGCCCTTTTCCAGCGTCCCGCTTGTGGCTGCTAGGCTCGCGTCTCGCTGTCGACCTTCTCGACGGTGCGCGGTTGGCTCCGCGCCACTCGCGATCAAGACAAGTTGTTCTACTCGGCGCTGCGACACTGGGCGGACAAAGGGGGGGCAGGGGAGGTGGGGCTCCCGACCTTTTGCTCGGTGCGACTGCTTGCAGGAGTGCTGCTTCCGGGGGAGATTACTCCACCCGCTCGAACCAGGCGCCGGAAACAGCCAAGATCTACTCCAGGGGGGGGGGGTAAGGGGAGGGGGGGAGGGCCCGCGCCGATCGGCAAAACAAGGAATAAAGCAACGATCACAGAGTGGCTTTCGCACCACCGCCGCGCACAGTCGGCTTGAAGAACAGATTCAGCAGTTGAGAAGATAAAAGGCGGTAGGGTTTTAGAAAGTGGCTCTCGCCACAGCACCGCGCACATTCGGTTTCAATGTTTCCTCAGATTCAAGGATGGAGGGCGCCTTCGTGCTCCAAACATGGTTGCCGCCCTCGCGCGCAAGAATTCCTCCCGACAATTCGCAACAGTTTCAATAATCCGCAGGTCAGAAGTTTCAGGATTTGTGCTCTGGCACGGCTTGGGACTGTGAAGGGGCCCAAGGACACACAACTAAGTACACACAAATCTCAAAGTCTCCAATCTTTTCCCATCTCTTCTGGGTTCTCGTCTTCCCCCCGCCCTTCTTCCCACAGTTTCCCATGGTTTCCTGGAGAGACGCTTGATTGCGTCTGTGTTTCTTTCCCTCCTGAGACTGTCAGACACCCAACCGGCGCGATGGCCCGCGGCGTTCCAGCCCCGTGAGCGGCTTCGTGGCACACGACGGCACGCCTGCCGGGCCGACAGGCCAGCACGGTGGCCCGCGGCGCTCTGGAAGTCCAAGGAGTGGTGCCGTCCGACGGAGCACGTCCTGCGACGATGCGCTACATTCTTGCACGGGCCTGTGGAGAAGAGCTTTGGGAAGAAGGCTCTACTGCAACTTCGTCGATGCGCTTTGGGATTTGAACTCCTCCTCCTCCTTCTCCTCTTCCTCCTCCTCCTCCTCTTCCCCCCTCTCCACCTCCTCCTCCTCCTCCTCCTCCCCCTCCTCCCCTCCTCCCCCTCCTCCTCCTTTTCTCATCCTCCTCCTCCTTCTCCTCCCCTCCTCCTCCTCCTCCTCCTCCTCCTCCTCCACATCCTCCTTTCTCTCCTCCTCCTCCTCCACCTCCTCCTCCTCCTCCTCCTCTCCTCCTCCTTCTTCTCTCTCCTCCTCTCCTCCTCCTCCTCCTCCTCCCTCCACATCCTCTCTCCCTCCTCCTCCTCCTCCTCCTCCTCCTCCTCCTCACTCCTTCTCCTCCCCTTCCTCCTCCTCCTCCTCTCTCCTCTCCTCCTCTCCTCCTTCTAATTCTATCCATCCTTACATCACTACCATCGCTTCCTTTCGCCAACCCTCCCCCCTTCCCTCCCATCCCATCACTGCCCCCAACCCTCGTCCCTCATACCGACCCTGCCGCCCAACTCCAAAGACGACGGCAAGAGAAAGGCAACATCGGCACAAGACATAGCTCGAAGTCTCTGAGAGCCCGCGACTCTGTGAAGGATGCGTCGGGGGCCGGTGCTGTCCCAGAGCGTTCCAGAACAGTCTGAGAACGGTCTAGAACGCTCTGCAATGTTGCACCCTTGCTTTGGGCGTGCCTGACCCATCCTGTCATCCCACCCGTGGGGCGCAAACCTTCCACCTGTCCGATACGCACCCGGCCGATCCAAGGCACAGGATCTGTAAGCATGTGGATGTGTACACGTATATGTATGCACATATATATACATATATATATACATATATGTATACACACATGTGCATGTATAGGCATGGCGGGATCTGAACACCCCGATCCAAAATATGTTGTCATCTCTTGGAGGGCAACTTTCAACCCCCGCCGGCTTCCGCCCGCCATCTGCCGACTCTCGCCAGCGGAGGCCGCTTCGGTCTACTTCCTCCGGCTTCCGCTGCCCGTCCGCCGCCTCCCGCCGAGGAGGAGATGACAATTCTCTCGATCCTCGGAGACGAGACCTTTCTGGAGCGCCCCAGATATGTTTATTGAGATATAGACATATATATATATATATATATAGATATAAGTTCATCGGTGCGAACACATTCAAGCGTATAGGTACTTAGAGGACAGAAAATCCACACCCAAAAGGATCACCCCGACAAGCGAAGCCGCTTCGTGAACGCACCCACGGAAGGGATCGAACTTGGCAGGGCTGCTGAGTGAGCTAGGGGAACAAAAAGTGGCATAAACATAACAACTCGAAGATCCGCGCGGATTTCTCGGATCGGCGCTGGGGCCCCTCGGCGGCGCCTCCGGGGGGTCCAGCGCCGATCCGAGAAATCTGCGCGGACCTCCGAGTTGTTATGTTTACGTCACTTTTTGCTCCCCTAGAAACGCCCAGGGCTGTCCAGCACACGCCCCTTCTCGGGGTCTGCACGCTTTTTGTTCCTCCCATGCGCATACCTCTGCGACTCTGGAATTTTCGGACGCCACCCGGAATGGGTCTACCGGTTCTTTCCGTCCTTCTGAGCTGCCGCCCGTTTGCTACGCCTCTCTTGCTTTTCCGCTTTTCCTCCGCTGCCTAGTCGTGGCCTGGCCAGAGTTTGGACGCCTTATGACCCGCTTCACGAGGTCGTTGACCAAAAAGTATACTTCTGCGCACGAGCTCGCCCGGCCTGGCCTGGCGAGGCGCCTGCGCTGCGCCTTCCTCCGCCCCGCCGGCGCTGCGCCTGCCTCGGCCGGCGCGCTCCCGGCTCCCCACCGGAGCGCCTCCCCCTCGCCGGGCGGCGCCGCCGCCAGGTTTGAGCAGGGACCGACCGTCCCGGCATTCCTATAGGCCTACCACGACATGTTCGTAGAACCCAAACATGTTCTGAGAGCAAAGACAATGCTCTTAGAACAGAAGCCCGCTGTGATGAAACAGGACAGTCCCAGCCAGAGATGTTCTGCGAACGTCTCGTGGGAACCACGAGAGGTTCTTAGGACCTTGTTTGGTGGGGCGATCGGCGAGCCAGGACGCTTCGCCGCTGCTTCTGATGACGACGAATGGGATGACGACAGGCGGAATAGGAGGAGGAGGATGAGGAGGAGGAGGGGGAGGAGGAGGAGGAGGAGGAGGAGAAGGTTGCCAGAGATGTTCTGCGAACGTCTCGTGGGAACCACGAGAGGTTCTTAGGACCTTGTTTGGTGGGGCGATCGGCGAGCCAGGACGCTTCGCCGCTGCTTCTGATGACGACGAATGGGATGACGACAGGCGGAATAGGAGGAGGAGGATGAGGAGGAGGAGGGGGAGGAGGAGGAGGAGGAGGAGGAGAAGGTTGAGGAGGAGGAGGAGGAGGAGGTTGAGGAGGAGGGGGAGGAGGAGCGAGGAGAAGGAGGGAAGGAGGAAAGAAGGAGAAGAAGGAGCGCCCCCCCCCCCGTTCCCCTGCGCGGGCGGGGCGGGGGGGGGCCTTGTTCCACTCCGCCTCGTCGGCGTCGCTGGAGTGCGCGCTGGGCGGGGGGCAGCGGGGGCCCCCCCTCCCCCCGCGGAGAGGGGGAGGGGAGGGATAGGATGGGAGGAAAGGAGGGAAATGGGGATGAAGAGAGGGGGGGAGGGGCAAGCTGGGCGCACCCGGCGCCTCCGTGCGACGTCCTGCCCCTCCCACCCTTCCCTCCTTGGCCGTGGCGGCGCGGAATTTCCCCGTATCCGCCGACGGGCTGCCACAGGGGAACTGGAGCCCGCAGATTGTGCCCCCCCCCCCCCCCCCCCCCCCCCCCCCCCCCTCCCCCCCCCCCCTCCCCCCCCCCCCCCCCCCCCTCGCGCGCGAAGCAGGCGCGATCGGAACGAGGACCCGTGCACACGGGAGGGGGAAGAGGACACGGGCGAGTTGGGCGGAAGAGCACAATGATGATCAGGAGGAAACGAGGGATAAGGAGATCAGAAGAGGAACCGCAACAGCGAAAACAGCCGCAAATCGACGAGAGGACAGAGCGGAGGAGGGCAAAAGAGGTGGCGACAACGGAAAGGAAGGACTCGGATCCACATCTGTGCCCCGCGCTGGGGCGATGGCAGTCTGAGCGACGGGAGTCAAGGACCGTTCCTGACATGAGGTCGACGTTGCAAAACAAACAGCGGTATCCGATGCGAAATCAAATAAAAAACGTATGCGATAAAGAAGGGGGCCAATTGAACATAATCTAACGAGATAAGACAATAGCATTCATACTGGGTAAACTTATAGTGGGGGAGACTGGAGTGGCCCTCCTCCTCGTTCGCCTCCTCTGCCTCCTCATCAGCATGATCATCATCACCATCCGCATCATCGCCATCATGAACATCATCATCATAATCATCATAATCATCCTCACCATCGCCATCATCATCATCATCATCCAAATCGTCATCAACATCGTGCCGCAATGCCAATATGTGTGTATTTTTGCGCGTAGAGCAACTCTGCTATGTAGCACGTGTATGCCAATCTGCCGAGTCTGCTATGTAGTTTGTGTAGATATGCCAGTCAACCGAGCAAGACAGGGCGGTCCCCGGGCGAAGCTCGGCAGAGAGCGAGGGGAGGGACGAACACACCAAACGCACACACACACACACACACGCGCACGCACACATGCACGCACGCACGCACGCACGCACGCACGCACACGCACACACACACACACACAAACACACACACACACACACTCAACATCACCGCACGAACGAGAGAGGTAGGAGAGAGACCCAAGCCACCCCGAATGGGCTCCTGGCATTCGCCGCGTAGGAACATGAATCGATCAGCGGCCGCGAGCGGCAACATCCTGGAGCAGCGATACGATGTTCACTCCAAAGATCGGGCATGCACACGGCAGAAGCGAACCGGATGAGGCCCTGCAGCGCGCGCCCAGAGTTTGCCCGAGTCTGGGCCCACCCCCGCGCGCACGTTGCGTCCGCCTGTGAAGCTACACGCGCCAAGGCGCCCCCGGCAAAGCCCGAGGAGTTTCAGATTGAAGCTTGCCGCTAGGCCCCCAGGCCTGGGCCCGAGTTCCGCCGCGCCGCCCGCCGCCGAAGGCACAGGGATCTACGCCGCAGTCGCGGCCGCGAACAGAGGCGGGCCCCAGGGGAG